CACGATATAACAAGCACTTCTCAGGTGGACTCGTCCAGTCCGTCACCACTTTGCTCGACCTTATTGAACGAAGGATCTATAAAATAATGGAAGAAAAGACTCATTAATCAAAGTACGAAAGACAAGTAAAAAGGTCACTCACCAGTTGCTCTCCAAGTGGATGGTATGTCGCCCTGCCCTCTCTCTCCAAAGACTCCCTCGCCCTTCAGAAAAAAGAATTTCCCTTTCCAGTTTTTGTCACTCAACCGCAGACATGTCACCAGGTGGAGTTGATCGTGCTTTAAGGTGACTACATATCTACCATTGTCTTTATCATGTTCCTTTAAATAATAGGAATAAAGGAACTCATGCAAGCTGAATCTCACTTGGATCATAGTACAAAGGAGCTCCAATGCGATCAATTGTCTCCACCTATTCGGCATGATCTAAGTCGGCGCAATCATGAAGTGGTTTAATACTTCCCAAACCAGTTGGGGAATCGACAGCTCAGCCCATCGTAGAAGTAAATATCATACTCCTTATCCACCATGGTACGTCCCAATCAACTCGCTCATAATGTCTTGACAGACGTATCTCCATCGAGTCGTGTATATGGTACATAGTCCTTATTCTCCACTCATCGTCCTTAGTGAGCTCTGGGGGATAATCTAACGATAAGATTCCACCGCTTGGTCGGTTATGTTCATCCCTTGAACTCCCACGAGACTGTTACCTGGCTTTTCTTCGCTGTCTTCCCCATTCTCCCCTTATCTATTAGAGTCATCACCACTCGACTCAACAGAAGTCGACTTGGCCATAGCTACACTTAGCCCTTTGGGAATCCCTATCGACACATTACCATCCTTCGACAACACCAACATGGTGGGAGCATTCTCATACTCCCTACCCGTCTCCATTTCCGCCTGACTCTCCTCGCTCGACTTGGAATGCGACATCGCAGTATTTAACAGTAAACCTCCTTCACCACACTCGAGTCGGTCTGAAAGATTGATCGACCAATTGACAAAATCAACCTTTGCCTCAAGGGACTCTAAAATCATGCTAACCCCAGAAGTCGTTGCTCGGCTTGATCAAGCACCCCGGGCGAGCCGAGTGGAGTTAGTGAGTAACTTGATCTTTCCTTCTTCCTTCAAAAAACCCAACTCCCAAAATCACCAGGTATCGTTTCAACTGCCCCTCTATTTTAAAGAAAACCTTATAAGGATCTTTCAAAATCCCCAGATTCTAACCTTGTCCTAACCTCGAAATCAAGCCAAATTTAGAAATATCCACTCGAACCTCTGAAAACTTCAAAGATAAACCAAAAAAAAAAAAAGGGATATACCAAACTACTTGAAGAAAAACTCGCCTAAACTACCTTGAAAACAAAAAAAAGTGCAAAAACAAAGAAAAAAGAAATCGATTTCTATGAAGAAAAAAGATCTTACTACGAATGGTTGCTATAGTCCTTGAGAAAATTCCGACAGTGATAAAAAAGCTTTTGAGAGGAAAAGAAAACGAAGAGAAGATGAAAATGAATAGTCGTCGTAAGGGTTCCTCCCTTTTCAAGTATCCAGCCTGATAAAGTCACACGCGGCAGCGACCAATTGGCTACGACTTTTCAAATTCCCGCTTAAAAGAAAGATGAGATCCCAATCGTACACGTGTCACATGATAAAACCTGCCTCGGGAATCACAATCTTTTGTTTCCCACTTGAACTTTATGAAACCCTATAGTACACGCGTCTCGTTATCATAGCGTCATCAAATCACTCAAATAGAACTCGGCTCAATAAGATGAACTGACCCGATCTCCAATCCAAAGGTGACAAGTATCTTCCCTTTGAAGTTCAGACCACACAAGCACTCGGTCTGACCGGCTGACTGAGTATTACAAAGGGTTGTGCCTCGCACCCTATCACTCGGCTTAGTCAGCCGAGTGGACGTAGCTACAAGGATTGTGCCTCATATCCTATCACTCGACTCACTCAGTCGAGTGCCCTCAACTACATAAGAGTGCACTTCACATTTTATCACTTGGATCGTTTGGTCGAATGAGTACAACCAACAGAGGCACCTCGCACCTTCCGTCATGACGAGACATCTTCACTTAGTTAAGGGAACACTTGCTCGTCCTGGTAGATTACCACTTAGCCTGGTCAACCTCCCTTCGGACCAGTTACTTTCCAAGCTAAATACTTTTTAGCTTAGAGAGTGGGGAGCTAACTGTGGTGGTCAAAAATTACCTTGGGCCTTATCAGGCCCAGACATGCATTTTCTACTATGCAAGCCCAAGGTCGCGATTCAATTCTGGTTAGGTTGGTGTCAGAATTCATGACATAGGCTAGAATGGTAAAAGTCCTTTGTGTCATGGGCTGGGACAGACCTTACGGGACAGACCTTACTTCCGTAACCGTAGATTTTAGAATCTACATGCATTTTTTAATCCATCCAAAGTAAACGATGAAAGAAAGAAAGAAACTCACAAGGCTTTCAGACTATCATCAATCAAGCTTAATGGTGTTAATCAAAAGTGGCAAAGAGAATGTGAAAGCCCAAGTTTACTTGAACTTTGGGATGAGTTAATAATGGTAAAAGTCCTTTGTGTCATGGGCTGGGAGTTTTACACCCAAAAGACTAACTTATTAGGTAGAGGGACTTCCTCACTTTATGAGCCTAAGACCTTCCCATACGCTTTTGATATGGTATTCATTACACTTGGACCAAAACACAAGTCAAAATGAAAGCTATAAAAAGGTTCAAAAAAGAAACATAAACCATAAGAGAAACATTATGCATACTACTGGTTTTTACTAACCAACCTACACTATGACGTGGCATCTGACATGGAGATGCCAATTCATGCCACATCAGTCATTTGACACGTCAGATAGTTTTAAAAAAAAATTCCCCAAAAAATTCCCGCTTACGAATTTTTGCCCAAAAAACCATTTGTGAATCTCATTTTCCTCTAAATCTCCAACCACCACTCCGGCACTGAAAATAAACTCTGGCACCACCTTTCACTTCACCGGCTTTCTTTGAGCAAAACCCCTATCATCCCCACCGGAGATCACCCACCAATCGTCGGTCGCCGCTCATCTAGGGTTCGCACTCTTCAAACCAATTTTCGGTCGATTTCGACATCAGAAATCTACCCTGACGCCACCTTTCACCTCACCAGCCTCCCCTGACAAAAACCCCTATCATCCCCACTGAAGATCACCCACCAATGCAATGTTTGAACTTGTTTTCTGGGTTTGTGATTGTTTCAATTAACTGCAGTGTTTTTTTTTTTTTTTTCCATTTTTCTTTTTGGTTTACAGCTCCATGGATCGGTTCTGTTCGTCAATTGAATCAATCCTTGGTTCCATCAAATGCTGGAACTTCTTTTGGAAAACAATGCTTTGTAAAACCAATTTGTGCAGAACCATTGATTAATGCTTTTGATTGCAATAATTTCTGGAACTAGGAAGTTCATTTTAGAACTTGAGCAATGATTGTCTGCTCATGGATACTTGTAAAAGATTGATGTTTTTCAGTATTTTGTGTGATAGTGAATTGCATATATGCCACGGTTTTGATTACTATTTATTCATGAATTTATATGGTTTTGAAGTATATTCATTGATATATATAATTTACAATATTGTTGAGTAATCTGGTCACTTTTGTTGAGTTATAAGTTGGGTTCTAGCTGAAAGAAGTATTATATGTTATAATATGCTGAATTAGTCTTGGTTGATTAAGATATCTCAATGGTCTGCAAGTTAATTAATATGCATGTCAATTTCTATTCTCGCTTCTTTATATGGCCATCCTGTATCCAGTTTGTTTGGAGTGAGGTATTCAATACCATGTATCTCTGCCCTGTTGTTGTTTATGAACATCTTTTGTTTAAGCCAGTAGTGCTTACTGAATCAATATATATTGGTTATCTAACAATAGAATAGTTTCTTCTAAATTTATAAAGAAGCAGGCCGATATCTTTTTAACATGCAATAAACTAGGACATCAAAAACACATTCTGATTGACTGTTTTCTAGATGAATATTATCCAAAAAGTATATTTGAAACATGACCAAGCCGAGTGCTTTTCAGTTTATCTTACTTCTGAAGATATATTTCAAGAGGCATTGATTAATTTTTTTTTTATCAACAGCCTTGCAATTGCAAAAGAAGGTGAGCTTACTATTGGCACAATTGATGACATCCAGAAGCTTCATATCCGTTCTATACCTCTTGGGGAGCATGCACGCCGTATCTGTCATCAAGAGCATTCCCGAACTTTTGCTATTTGTAGTTTGAAGAACCAGTCTACTGTAGAAGAATCTGAAATGCACTTCATCCGCTTGTTAGACGACCAAACATTTGAGTTCATATCAACTTACCTACTTGACACATTCGAGTATGGTTGCTCCATCCTCAGATGCTCCTTCTCTGATGATAGTAATGTTTATTACTGTGTTGGGACTGCCTATGTTCTGCCGAAAGAAAATGAGCCTACCAAGGTAAACTAGATGCAGGTTATCTTTGTTTTCAGTTTGAGATTGACATATTGTAGCAATGTTCATATTTCAATTGTGTCTTTTCTCTGTGTAGGGGAGGATATTGGTTTTCATAATGGAAGATGGTAAGTTACAACTGATTGCGGAGAAGGAAACTAAGGGAGCAGTTTATTCATTGAATGCCTTCAATGGCAAATTGCTTGCTGCTATCAATCAAAAAATCCGGTTATACAATGGCAAATTCTTGACGATGACATATACCTTGGTGCTGAAAACAACTTTAACCTCTTTACAGTTAGGAAGAATAGTGAAAGTGGTTTGGCTTATGGGAGGAATGGATGGTGGGAATGGCAGCTTGATTGACATATTTATTTTGGAGTTTGTTTGATGGGAATTGATTATATTGGGAGTGTTTGTGTTGTTTGATTGGTTGTAATGTTTTCCAAACTTCCCCATGCATCCAGTCAATTAGTCACCATATCCACCATAATATGTTCTCTACTCACCACTTGCTCAACCATTTGCCAAAACCAAAACCAAGGAATAAGCAAGCGCCTGCGCATGCAAGCAGCTCCCAGGGCATGTACGTCTCCTCCCAGCGCCCCAAACCACCTTTCTTGGCCTTGCCCAACTTACCAACCTAACACCGCCAGCACCCTGCAACCACCTGCAGCCATTGCCCACCACACACTGCCCTCATTTTTCTGTCCATTGCAGTCACTTCCCAGCCATCACCCACCACCACACACTACCCCCCTTCACTGCAGTCTTTTCCCAAGCATCACCTGCCACCACAACTGCACACCCCCCCCCCCCAAAGCCACCCTGCCCTCCCCGCGCCCCAACCACCTTTCTTGGCCTTGCCTAACCCATATTTCACCAACCTAACACCCCCAGCACCCCTGTAACCACTCGTAGCCATCAACAAAATCACATAAATTGATTGTTCAGAATCAAGAAGTCAACTCACCGGACTCAACTTTTTTAAAGAGAACCATATTTTTGCAACTCATTGATGTAATTTATTGCTTCTAATTTAGGTTTTCAAATGCTTCAAGGTTTAGATGTTCTTTCCCCAATGTTATGTTGTGGGGTCATGTATTGTTTGGTAAAAATATTGTACAAGAAATGGCTAATACCAGCAATTGTATTAATAAAATGTTTTTTTGCTTATAGTAAATCTTGCATCTTTTAAATTGAGGTCTTGCATGTACAAAATATTATACAAGAACAACATTTATTGTTCATGATACAAGGGTAAGAAACTATGCACAATATATGGTACAAGAACAAAATATTATCCAAGAACAGCATGATATCTTTAACTTGGATTATAAACGAACAAAAATAAATTATATAATACAACTTTACGATATAACATCTTCAAACTGTCTATTCTTTTCACCATGGTCTTCACCCATTATTCTTCATTCACAAGTTTGAATCTGTGGGATACGGCCTGTAAGCGACTGACCTTTCACTGTAATTCTGGAAAATGTACAAAAAAATGACTTAAGAAATTAATTGTACACCAAAAAGAAAAGGGTAGAAAATTAATGAATCATACCTGGCTTAATATATGAACTCCTTCTTCACATCCTTAGAAGTTAATCGCATCTTGAAAATGTTCATTTGCTTACTTGGTTTCTTGGGAACCCCCGTCATACAATCGATTCAGGGATGTCGCAACACACTTTTTCATGAAATTTCTTTTGTTTACCTTTACGTACATTTTGTTCGAGCTTTGATTGTTTCTTTTTGAATGGAGGTTGACCTTTGCAACGAACAGCCCGGGGAGTTAAAATTTTATTGCTTGCCTTTGTGGAATTGGCGTGAACACTATCAAAATTTGATCACTGTGACATGACATGTCACCATGGCTATCAATCCTGCCAGCACGTTCATTTGACAATAATTTCTTCTTCATGTCAGTAATTATATGCATCACCATATTACTATCATCAATATTGATTGAGGCTAAATCAACTACCTCAGAGAATGAATTAGACAACTGATCAAACCGTTCTCTTTCAGCAGTCGTGCTCCAGCTATTATAATTGACTCTAATCTTCGTGTGGCATCTATATACATTTTTCCTCCACCTTCTTAAAATGAACTTTTCAGGTATATGATAAATCTCTTTACGAAGCAATACCGTTATTACATGTCCACAAATAATCCCTCTAAATTCAAACAATCGACAATTGCAACGAACATCACAACCACGGTCATCACAGCAAACCACAAAAGGCACACTATGACATGTCTCCCCTACCACGACAACTTCCTTTACAATATATTCTATTTCAGATTCAGTGGCACGCAAAGAAGACAACTCACAATGCAACTTAGCAGTAAGCTTTTGTTGAAACTCTTTGAATTTTGTGGTCGTGTATGCCTCCTGAAATTGTTTCTCCATTAGATAACCGGTTTATACAAGGAATCCATGATTTCCATGATCTAAAATCAGCCTCCTTTTCTTTTTCTACTTTATCACACAGTGCATTCTCATACCGTTCTACAAACTGTTTCAAAGTGGTTTTAGAATTTACATACCCATCAAAGAATGCATGCATACTTTCACTCCGCTGAGTGGTGGACAAACTCGCCCAAAAGGTGTCTTTTACAAACGATGGCACCCAACGTTGTCTTTCATTATATAGTCCAAGTAACCACTCATTGTTGTGAAGGTTGTATTTATCAATGAATCCAGTCCAACGTTGTTCGAACTCCTCACGTGTCAATGAATCATACACAACGTTTTGCAAAGCAAACTTAATACGTTCGTATTCACTGTAACCCCTTAACTTTTCTGGCAATTTCTTCATTATATGCCACAAACATCATCTATGCCATGTACCCGGAAACACAATCTCGATTGCATTCTGCATTGTTTTGTCTTGATCAGTGATTATTGCATTTGGAGCACAATTCCACATACATGCAAGCCAAGATTCAAAAAGCCAAACAAAAGTCTCCGTGTCCTCATGGGAGATTAACCCACAACCTAAGAGTATTGAATGCCCATGATAGTCAACACCAACAAACGCCGCAAATGGCATATCATACTTGTTGGTCAAGTATGTAGTGTCAAATGTGACAACGTCGCCAAATTCCTTAAATGCAACCCTACTTCTTGCATCCACCCATATAATATTCTGTAATCGACCCTCCTCATCTAAATCCATCATGTAAAAGAAATTTGCATTATCTTTTTGCATCTTTAAAAAATATTTTTGGATTGCATAAGCATCCCCGGCACCAAGTCGCAATCTCCTAACTTTTTCAATATAGTTCCTATAATCTTTTTGCAAGAAAGTCAAATTCTCAGGACCGCCTGCTTCAACTAACATGGAATTGAAATTTTTATTCGGCCTAATCCCGACCCTATCATTTACTTTAAGTCTCCTTTTCACATATGGTTGTATACCACGATTGCTCCTGAAATATCTAGTTTTCGTTGGGCTACTCAGCTCATGGTTATGATTCAACCCCACTGAACATATTTGCCATTTTCTGTTACCACATACGGCTGCACCAACCCAAGCCTTACAATCTATCTTTGTCACTGGGTACAATTTAAAAGCATTTCGGGTGTTACTACTCGACTTCCTAGTACAAGAACAAGCTAGTGTTGCGTTTGTCACCTCTCCATCATCTCCTTTCCTTGAGGATCTTATAATAACTTCAAACCCCATTCTATTCCCATAGCTTCTGTAGTATTGGAAAAGATTATCAAGTGAATCAAAAACCATCCTAGGCTTCGGCTCCCATTCCTCCTCTGCACTTCCTCTATCTTCAACTTCTTCAAATTGATTATCCTGATTCATTTATATTATAATACCCAGAATTAAAATATTATAAGATAACAAACATAATAGAAACAAAACCATCCAAATTTTTGTTTAAACTACATTAACTTGTGCGTATACAAAAATTTATCATTTATCATACAAACATGGGTACTCATTGATACATAATAATAACTTCGTTTCATTACAATGCTTACCCTTTCAGTATTAGAAACTGAAGCCTTTAACTGTTCATTTATCTCCTCCATTGTCTGCTCTTGCATGTTATCAACCTTTGTTTCTGCTCCTCTACAAAACCCTTAACAACTTAAATTCATTTTGGATGCAATGAACTAAACTAAACTTGTGTATTAATAATTAAGAAAAGACAATTAATAATTATAGTTAAATCAAGAAGATAACCATCTATGTCTTAACACAATTTGATTGAAAAAGAACGAAAAATCCTGAAAGAATTACACCTTTATTCACAGGCAGTGAATTGGTATAAGCAGTAGTAACATACCCTCTTGATAGTATTGATCTGGAAATGTCTGTCCGAAAGGCGCTGAGTGAATCTGTTTGGAAAGGTCCTTAAAAATTGCCAACCTTTTTCCAACCAGAACCCTAAAACGAAAAATGGTTATAACAACTGATCATATTTCTGAATTCAAGAACTCCATATACGTACCTAACTAGAGAATGATTCAGTTATACATGCTTCCGAACATATAACAAAAAGATAAGCAAGGGGAACATAAATAACAAGAATTGAAGTCCTATTTAGACACACTTCCATTACAATAGAGATCATGCACTTCAACAGCAAAAAGCACTTGAAATCAGCCATTGAAGTCAGTCAAATTAGCTCTGATACTATGTAAACTAAATTCAGAATTTTGTTAAAATAAATTGTTCACATAATTAAGTTGTAAATTGACTCAAGTCAACATATATATATTTATCTTGGTCCTTTCCTTATGGAATACCAAAGTAAAACCCATATACAACTCTATGTCTTTCAATTCAAGGTGTATATTCGATTAGCTACTTTGAAGATTTAGGAACAAGTATCTACTCATTTCTTACTTCATTCTTATACCCATCTAACGCAGTACTTGAAATGGCCACAACTAATATGAAAAGGAAAAATATTTCAACAATGCATTGTTCAAATTTTGAAGATTCACGAATTATGTGACATTTTGATGAACAGCCATTTGCAGTAGTACTTTTTGGAGGCAAAGATTGGGATACTACTGGTTTGAGAAACACTATGAATATTAAGCTTTGCAAGCTCCACGACACCTTATATAAAACATCTCAACCCATTTTTTTCACCTTTTCTTCCCCAAATTATGCAGTTCCTTTCACTGTTTTAATTTGCACGGAATTTCCTCAATTTATCGGATTTACAAAGCTCCTTTTTACTATAATATTGTTTATCATAAAATTTGTACACACTTATACATGGTTCTCAACTCAAAAGCACCAAGCAAGTGTTGTGTTCCACTTCTCCCAACAGCAACAAGTAAGTAAGAGAGATCATTGAGTGAGTAAGCTCTTACCACTCAAAAGGAACTCTCACTGGTTAGCGACAGAGACAAATGCGACAATGACAATGGATGTCGCAGCCGGCAGTTCAAATGCTCAAATTCGGGATGGGTAGTTTGGGTTTTGAGTATGATTTAATTTGGGAGAAGATTTAGGTTATTAAGAGTGGGATTTGAGAGAGAAGATTTAGGTTATTAAGATTGGGATTTGGGAGAGAAGATTTTAAGTTATTAAGATTGAGATTACGGAGGCAAAATTTTGTTCTGTAAACCCAGTTGTGCACAAAAATTTTTCACAAATTTTTTTTTTAAATTATCTGACATGGCAGATGAATTGGCATCTCCACGTCAGATGTCACGTCATGTTGTAGGCTGGTTAGTAAAAACCAGTAGTATGCATAGTGTTTCTCAAACCATAAATATTCAATATGCTATCGAAAGAAAGTGGTTACGAATGCTATTTGTCCATTGCTATGCAAAAGCATTTGATAAATACTATAGAAATCATATAATCGCTATGCAAATGCACATTCATTAGCATTTGATAAATATTACAGAAACCATATAATTGTAGTTTTTGCGTTCAAAATCCTCTCTTTCAAATAATTGGAGTTTAGGGAGTTTCCAAAATGAATTTATGAGTTTGCATTTTTTAGTTGAGTTTGTGAGTTATTGCCATGGGTGGTGGTTGCCACGGTCGTACTTATTTTTTATATTTAATTTTGGGTTGTATTGATTGAATGATTGCAATGGTAATTTTTTTTATTTATTTATTTAGAGTAGGTTTATTTTTTATTGATTATTTTAGTATGACAATAAATTTAAGGGTATTTTAGTCTTTTGTCACGATTTTAACGGGTTTTAGTAACAAAATTTAACGGTAAGGGTGTAAATGTCACTATCTCGAAACGTAAGGGGTTTCTTTAGTATCTGGGAACCAACTTGATTCTTTTATTAAACCAGAAGGATGGAAATGATTTTAACTTTTAGAGGTCTATAATACATTTGCCCGCACTATATCTCATCTCCATAATCAAAACAAAAGATTTCAATTTACAAACCCTGGAGGACTGTACACAACACAAGAACACAAAAAACCAAGAGCTGCCACCGGTCGTCGTCTCCGGTCTCTTCCACCTTCTACTGCCTCTCAAGTAAGTTGGTGTTATTCTTTCACTTAGATTCTTGAGAATTGTAATCCTCTATCTGTTGTGAATTTGTGCGAAAACAAGCTTTCATATTTGTGAGAGTTACTGATTAATGAAAAGGAGTTACCTGACTAATAGCATTTACAGTCATGTGGCTTGATTTTTATTTTTCTTTCAAGGTGATGGAGAAGTTAGCTTCTGGTTTGATAGATGTCACTATTTAACTTATGATTTATGAAGAATTTCGCATTAATGTTTTTGATAATCATATTTCCCAATTTCCCAATTATGAACACTATACCAATCCCCAATATATTATTATATAAACTGATAAACAATTTAGAACTAGGGTTTTGGTATCTTAGCTCAGCAGCGCTATGGGCAACAGCAGCTCGGGTCGTGTAATGTTGTGTGTTTAGTTACTATAAAGTGCAGTTTTGAATCTCGTTTTCTATTCGGTTAGAATTTTCTCAGTTTTTCCATATAATCGATATGACATTTCAATCCTTTTAGAACTTACTATTTTCACAGCAGTGTAAGATTACCTGTTAATATATATTTTTTAATCTCTTAAGATAGTTATCTTCTAATACGTTTGTGATTAACTGTCTCCCCCTAGTTTGCTGGTGTGTTTTTCTCTTTTTAGTTTTGATGCTGATTTTACTTTATTTTATGGTTGTTTGATGGTTTATGAAGTTGAATCTTTTTCGGAAAATTCCCTTATTTCTTTTATTGATGTTTCAAGATTTTTATTACGACTTTATGATTAATATATTATGCAGAGATTATTGTTCTGTTATACTTGCATTGTGAGATCTTGGTTAATCATTTATTTGCATTTTTAATTCTGTGTATTTTCAAAATTATGACTACACTTTTTTTTTTTTTTTCAATTTTTAATTTTGGAGTGTAATGGGCTGGGGAGGGGCTTCGCTCATGCCCTGACCTATTGCTGTTTCTTTTTGTCTCTTGCTGGCTCTTACACACTCTCTTGCTTGCTTTCTCATTCAGTCAGTTGCAGTCTCCACCATGAGCAGATCAGGACAGCCTCCAGATTTGAAGAAGTAATTGCTTGCACTCTCTGTTTCTTCTATTTTTTATATTTTATTGCAATGTTGAATTTATATTGTTTGTTTGATTCACCATTTCTGATTTCGATTTTGGGTTTTGGATTGATTCAGGTACATGGACAAGAAGCTTCAGAGTAAGTTCTCTTTCATGCAATCTTAATTTTTTACTATTTGTTGTTTCACTTATTTATTAAATTAACGGCTAAATTCATGCCAAAATTAGTGTAATTGAAAGAATTGTAATTCTTTAGACTCGAGTTTTTCTTTAGTTTGTCATGTTGGTAGTAGTTTAATTCACGTAACATTTTGGCTTCTGGTTAATTTTAATTACTGTGTTTGCTTGTTGGGATTATGTTATGGGTTTCATATATTGATTATGTCAATCTTTCAGAAATACTTGGTCGAGGTTTTTCATGAATATTACATTCTAGAATTCTGTTGGGTTTATTGATATGTTGTCAGTTTAATTTATCGTTTTGTTAAAATTGCGTTCTGGGCTACATATAACTGAGATATTTCCTGGATAATCTATTCTGCATTCTACAAAAATTTTCTGTTTTAATTTTTTAATTTCATAGTGTTTGCATAAATTTTCCATTTGAAATTGCCAATTATGCTTGTTCCTCTCTATAGGGCACGAAATCTGCTTTTTTAAATGAATAAATATAAATTTCTTTATTGACATTATTGTGTTATTAGTGAGTTTTCTCTTGTCTGAGATGTAAACTTATCCAAAATGGAAATTTGGGTAGTGCAAAATGTTATGTCGCTGTGGGAATAACTTTGCTTCACTAAATGTGATTAGTTAGAAGATAGGCATTAACGCAATATCAAGAGTGCCTTTCTTTCTGGTGTCATCCGAAAAATCTGTCTTCATTGTATCTATGTTTCTCTGGAGCATTCTTCAGTTCCTGCCACTTGCAGCAACTCTCTTATTTATGGGGTTCATGCTTTAGATTTCCATATGAACATTTCCTATGGGGCTTGGTTTAGAATCTGTAGCTAGATATCATTAATGAAAGATGCCTGTGAATTTTTCTTTGTATTGTCTGTCGCAATTCACGGAACCAAGCTGACTTTTAACTCTTCTTGAGTTTATGCACTGCTTATGTGATTCAGTCCATAAACAACCATTAGAAACAAGCATGTCTCTGGGTATGTTGTACAGATTTGTAGCATGGTCAACATTCAATCTGTTGCTTCTCATAGCTTTTGTAGACAGCATGGACATATCTGTTGCAAGATTATTAATTTATTTTCAAAATATTGAAAACCAACTGGAATTTGTACTGCAGTCAAGCTGAATGCTAATAGGATGGTTGTTGGAACACTGCGTGGGTTTGATCAGTTTATGAATCTTGTGATTGACAACACAGTGGAGGTGAATGGCAATGAGAAAACTGATATAGGGATGGTGGTGAGTTTCTTTGCCTTTTCCTGTTGTTTGCAGACGGTTGAACTTCCATTTGAGTAGTGAAATTGTAGCGGTCTTTTCTAATTGATATCACATTTCTGCTGCAGGTTATCAGAGGAAACAGTGTCGTCACTGTAGAAGCTCTTGAACCAGTTAGCAGACCACAGTGACCTTGGTTTTCCCATTGATGCTGATCCAATGTATTTTGTTACTGTTATGTATTATGGATAAAATATGAGTTTAGTTAGTTTCAAACCTTAATAAACAATACCATATCAATTATCCTCTTTTTTATTTTATTTGCGTCTATATAAATGTGTTATACATCATTCCATCCCATATATGAGATTGTACGCAATGAAAGTATACTAACCATTTTCCCTAGATTATGATATACAAACGCAATTATATGATTAACATGCGCCAAATGAAAAAAACACACGTCTCATGAGGACAAATTTTAAGGGCATAAATATAATTTTCCTTTGGCAATTGAATATATTATCTGCATCACTTATATATGTTTAAACATGCTAAAACTAAGAAGAAACCAGATTAGGGAGAGTCTTTATTATTTAGAAACAAAATGATCCAAGAAAACAATAAAGCAAGTGAAATAAAACAAAATTTATGTTCAAGTACGTCAATAATGGAGGAGACTCCAAAGATCGCTAATTGGTGGACTTGATTATTCAGTTACTATAACTTGAGACCGTATTTGAAAACAAAAACAAAGGCCATATATGTGTATGATATGTATATGGCTTCACTTGAGGTTGAGGGAGTTCTCAATGTCTATGACGAAACGATATTTAACATCATTCTTTGCCATCCTCTCAAAAGCTTCATTCACATACTCAATTGGGATTATTTCCACCTTCGGATATATTTTGTTTACACCACAAAAATCCAACATTTCTTGCGTCTGTTTGGTGCCACCTGTCCAGCTTCCACTAATGGATTTCAAACCTGCACATGTCAATTTGTATAAGCAGTTATATTGAATCGATAAAAAAATTGGGACCTATCCTGACTACTTTTACAAAAGATGAAAAGCAAAAGGCAAACTTGTTTCACATTATGTCACGACTGGTTAGTGGTGTTTATGTTTTGTGTTGGGGTGTGGATGCCTGATGTTTTTGATGGGCAATGGCTATTAACGTAAGCTTCGTCGGAATGCAATGAAATTACTTTATTTTCGAATAATGTAGGAATGAATTACTTTTATTTGTGAAATTTCTAACCAATACTTAGCTACATGAAATGTATTTTCAAGATGTTGGGTTTATCAATATTCTGTTTTCCCGTTACGAAGAAAGGAACATCAAAATAAAAAGACGGCGCGCTTTGTAGCTTCTAAAATTCCTGCTTTAACTTCACACACTTATCTACCATCGTCAATAGATACTTTTTGTTGCAATTAGTTACATATTTGATCCTACAAAAGATCTTTGCAAAATTTCAAGGATCATCCTGAGATTGGCAACAAGAAATATTTTTTATTAAAAAAACTTTAATAAGAAATTGAACCGATCCTAACATCATTATCTAACTTACCCTTTGATATATGCTATATTTGTTAAAGCTATGGCTTATATAAAATACACCCATAAGGTTTTGTACGCTTTGACTGTTGNCTAATGGATTTCAAACCTGCACATGTCAATTTGTATAAGCAGTTATTTTATTCCTCAAAGCTTATATATTATTAATTATATTATCTACCGGATTGAATGCTAGCAGGCGCAAGTTTAATTTCTTTTGGGTAGCCCACCAGGGACAAGACGCCATTAGACTTCAGGAGTGAAAGGTATAGGTCAAAAGAGTGTTCGCCTGATGCTGAGTCAATAATAAAATCCAAAGATTTAGCTAGGGCCTGCATATATACAAAACAACAATCATTAATGATGAATCCATTAATTGAATTCTGAAAACTGGTTAATTTTACCTTCATTTGGTTCTCATCAGTTGAGAGTACAAATCTGTCAGCTCCAAGAGAGTTCAAGGCTTCCTCTTTCTTCGATATACTTGTGCTGAAAACTGTAACATGCAGTCCGAAAGCCTTCCCGAATAGCACAGCCATGTGGCCAAGCCCACCTAACCCAACTACGCCTAGACGTTTACCCGGTTGGTTCATCTTGTGGTGCACCATGGGCGTGTACACTGTAATTCCAGCGCATACCAATGGCGCTGCCAAGGCTGATGGATAATTCTCTGGCATCTTGAAGCAGTATCTGCAGATGAAAAAAACAAAAAAAAAAAAAAATGATAGAATCAGTAGATAAAGAATATATATGTTTTAGTAATCCATTTGTTATATCCCAAACTCATCTAAAACTTAAAATATTTAGAAATGATTGATGTCAATGTGTTGTATCAGTTACTGCAGTTGCTACATGGAAACATTTAACCTTGGGATTTTGAAAAGGTGGCTCACCTCTTATCAACTACATGGAAACTGGAGTATCCTCCTTTAGTGATTGTACCGTCCACGTCAACGCTATTGTAAGTATGAACCAGCTTTGAACAATGAACTTCTAAGCCATGGTTGCAATCCTCACAATCCCTGCATGAATTAACATATGTTCCCACTGCAACACGCTCACCAGCCTTGAAGCCATCAACATTGGTGACAACCTCTTGCACAATTCCAACAATCTCATGCCTATTATGAAAATTAAACATCGTAAATAAATCATATTAATTAAGAGCTCTTGAAATTAACTAGAAAATCAGTCACATACCCAGGAACTGTAGGATATTTTGTTTCTGAAACTTTGTTCCTGGTAAAAAGTACATCACCATAACAAACTCCACAGTGAGTTATTTTTAATGAAACATCGTCACTTCCAACACTCCTGCAGGAAAGTAAGTGATACAACAAACAAATTAATCGCTGAAACGCCATGTATAAAATTAAAATATGCATGCTTTCTATATTGTTCAAAATCTTTACCTTCGCTTAAATTGGTAAGGTGAAATAACTCCTGAGGGGTCTCGTGCGGCCCATCCAAAGCAATCTTTGCCCACTTGGCCGGATGCCATTTTTGGTTCTGTTAAAATAAACGAAACTGAGCGATTTGTAACAAAGAATTCAACCAGAAACTAATGGGAGTTTGTACAGAAAATAACTCGCCTTGCAGAAGGCCTTATAGAAGAGAAGAAATTAATGGTGGGTAGTGTAAATATGGCGTGGAAGTTTAATTTGATTTGGAGAAATTCATTCATATGTAAGAGTATATATAGTGGATTTCCTAGTACCAGAACGACGGAAAAATCACATGAAATGAAGTTTGACGAATCACTGTATCGAATAACTAAAGAAATAAAGCCACCGCCCACTTTGATCAGCACGGATAGCGGGATAGGCGCCATGAATTTAGAGCTGGGAGTCTGGGGGAGATGAATAAGACGAGGAAATTTAGTTGTCCGGCCATCCCAAGTTTCATTTAACAAAATGGCCATGAAAATCTTTTTGATTTTTTTGGGGTTAAAAAATATGACGTGGCATACTTAAGTGTAATTAAAGCACCAAAAAGGATTAGGGTGAAAAGTTTTAAACATTTGTGGGTTAGAGTATAATAAAGAGAAGTTGATTTAAAATTTGAAAGGCAGAACACATTTCTCTCAGGTTCTTTCTCTTTCTCATTTTTTCTTCTAATTTTCTGCAATTTCTCAATTTCTTTGCTTTTTGCATTTTTTTCATTCCTTGCCATTCCCGATTAAGTTATAATGGCTGAGTCCTTAAAGAAACAGAAAAAAACCCATATACTCCCCAAATTATAGGCACGATTGGGTCTACCAAAAATGGAGAAAAAGAAGTTGTGATGGAGTAACTTCCGATGACTAAAGTTGCTCCACTAGGAGAGGAGACGGCGTCGACGGAAGACATTCTATTGGCGAAACAAGGGAGGGCAAGAGTTGAAATTGAAACTGAAGAGGAGGATGTTGACACAAATTCCAAGCGTCGGACATGATCGCTTAAGCTATCTAAAATCGCTTAAGCGACAAAGAGTAAAAGCAAAGGATCGCTTAAGCGATCTGGTATATAACAGAAGATCGCTTAAGCGATCTGGTATAAGCGAATTTAGATCGCTTAGGTGATCGTGCATTTGGGCAGAAGTTGATTCTGCCTCGGACACGATCGCTTAAAGCGACCAACGTTAAAAGCAAAAGATCGCTTAAGCGATCATGCGCCTGGGCACTTATTTATTGTTTTGTTCATGATCGCTTAAGCGACCAACAATAAAAGCGAAGAATCGCTTAAGCGATCCTGCGTCTGGACACTTATTTATTGTCTTGTTCTTAATCACTTAAGATCGCTTAAGCGACCAATAGTAAAAGCGAAGAATCGCTTAAGCGATTGTGCATCTAGGCAGAAGTTTATTTTGCCTCGGACATGATCGCTTAAGCGATTTGTAATAGCTTAAGCGATCGTGAGTCTCAGCACATTGATTCTGTCTTGTTCATGAAGTCTAAATACACAGGATCGCTTAAGCGAGAAATGAAATCTCTTAAGCGATCCAGTGTATTTGGATTATTTTTATTGTATTTCACTAGATTGGTTAAGCGATTAACGCTATTTTAGACATATAAGGTGTACGATTCATTCAGTGGACCATGACCATTATTATATTTTAATTAAATTAGTTCTTTTACGGCTATATTAAACATTTATAGTATCTACCAGGTGTACGATTCGTTTAGTGGACCAAGACCGACCGTTATTTTATTTTAATTAAATTAGTTCTTTTATGGCTATATTAAACATATATGGTGTAGAATGTTTACGTCTATATTAAATATATCAGGTGTACGATTCGTTTAGTGGACCATGACCGTTATTATATTTTAATTAAATTAGTTCTTTTATAGCTATATTAAACATATATGGTGTAGAATGTTTACGTCTATATTAAACATATCAGGTGTACGATTCGTTCAGTGGACCATGACCGTTATTATATTTTAATTAAATTAGTTCTTTTACGGCTATATTAAACATATATGGTGTAGAATGTTTACGTCTATATTAAACATATCAGGTGTACGATTCATTCAATGGACTATGATCGTTATTATATTTTAATTAAATTAGTTCTTTTACGTCTATATTAAATATATGTCCATAAACATGGAAAATAAATATTGAAGTAAATTACCCTTAGGCTTAAGCGTTCAGTCGACCATCACTGAAGTATATTGTTTACTGCATCGCTTAAACAATCAAGTATATCGCTTAAGTGATCTAGTACAAATAAGCCTGATCGCTTAAGCGATCTGCTGCCATATATCTGATCGCTTAAGCGATCTGCTGCCATATACGAGACTTATATTTGATCGCTTAAGCGATCTTCTGTCATATACCAGATCGCTTAAGCGATCTGGTACCATAAACCAGACTTATACCACATCGCTTAAGCGATCTTCTGTCATATATCAGATCGCTTAAGCGATCTATCAGTTCTAAAACACATTTTCAGCCATCTCCACCTACAATCGGTCCATCATACCCAGAACAAATTTTCAACAAATTTCACTCCTTTCAACTTGCATTACATCAAACACAACCCAACAACCTAAACAACTAAATCAAAATCATAACCCAAACCCCATCCATTTTTAAATCTTTGTAAATCTAAATATAAAATGTAAAGAGGAGATACACATATTTACACGAAATGTCAGGAGGAGGAGGAGGAGGGGGATCTTTGGCGGAGAAGATGTTAATGGTGGAGGAAGAAGAAAGTGTTAATGGCGAAGGAACAAGAAGATATAGAGGAATGAGGAAGAAGAAGATGTAGACGAAGGAGGAAGAAGAAGATGTAGATGAAGAAGAAGATGTAGACGAAGCTAAGAAGAAACAGCAACCAAGGTGGAGATGCGTTAATGGCGGGAGGAAGAAAAAGGTGTTTGGGTTTGTTTGCAAGAATTTCGGGTTTTTGGGAATATAGTATAATTTTTAAAAGATTACATAATACTTCATTAGTCCTAATTAAGCACTAATCAATTTAATTACCCTTAATCAATAATATGGTTATTTAGTAAAACTTTAAAACTTGATAGCCTTTTAATTAAATTCAAACTTGAAAGGTTGTTTTAATAAACTGCCCGAATAAGATTGATGGCCAATGTTCAATGCTCATGAAAAATAGGCATATAATTGGTGGATTTATTAAGGTAATAATACTATAATATATAAATAGTTTACCTGGAGAGTTAACTTTTTCCCACCCCCGAATGGCTTAATGACATTTTCTCATCTATTTGAAAGTATTACTTTATTACTCAAATTTATATTTTGACGAAGAATAGATAATAAACTCAGTTCAAATTGTTGGGGCTTTTAAAGAAGTGAGATCTTTGAGTCTTTTGATAATAAAATGTTAGATTTTAATGATTGTGATTGATCGGAATTCGATTTGATAAGGACAGTTGCTCAAATTATAATCACTCAATTATCGACGATTGACAAAGTCAACAAGAGTAAGGTTTAAGAGGTTTTAATAAGTGATAATTAGAGAAGAAAATAACAACAATATAGAGTAGCAGCGATATCGAAATCAAAATAAAAATAAAAATTTTAAATAATAAAATAGTATTTTAAACATAATCATAAGCCAAAAAATGATTTAAGTAAAAGTCGATTACTGGTTACCCGAAACCGTTGACTAGGAAAATAGTTTTCTTTTTGTTTATCATGAGATGTAAGGGCCCAGTCCCCGACGGCGGAATTTTTTTTTTTTATCTGACTAACCATTGCGTATGAAGTGACCCAGTCGTAACTCGTAACGGATGACACATCCATGTTCTACTAAACATGTCACACATGGAAAAGTTTACATTCAGAGAATAAATACTTATTTGAAAATAATGATAAATATATTATAAAAGAAAATTAAAAAAAAAAATGCATCCCACGTAAGATTTTTCTATCTATAAACTCCATTCTATTCATTAACAAAAATGGCATTGATTAGTATATCACTTTAAAAAAAAAATGAAAAGAACTTAACAGAATAAAAGGGAAGTTAACTACTATTTAGTGATTTAACGGTTAATTAAGACTTTTAGATGTATTATTTAAAAAGTCTTGAATTCGATTCATCTGAGTTGATAATAGGGCTGGTCATTGAAGAGATTTACCTGGATGTCAACTTCAGGATCCCAAAAGATAAGTTGAGATACGTACAAACTAGTCTAGACACCCACGATTAAAAAAAAAAAAAAAAAAAAGAGAAATTATATTTGATTCAATGTTTGCAATTTGAAGCATATATTAAGATTGAGGATTAAATTTAATATGTATTGAATCGATAAAAAATTTGGGACCTATCCTGACTACTTTTACAAAAGATGAAAAGCAAAAGGCAAACTTGTTTCACATTATGTCACGACTGGTTAGTGGTGTTTATGTTTTGTGTTGGGGTGTGGATGCCTGATGTTTTGATGGGCAATGGCAATGTCATGGCTATTAACATAAGCTTCGTCGGAATGCAATGGATTCAAAATAAAATTTATAATTTCATTATAAAACCAATTATTATTCTTTTTCTTATGTGGATCATAGTACCTGTAACTTCTCAAATTATTCCAATATGGGATTGATCAAATCTTGATACATTCATCCACATATTAATAAAAAAGTTAAATATTATAACCTCCAGTATTAGATCTTGAGATATATATATTTTTTGTTTATTTTCGAATAATGTAGGAATGAATTACTTATATTTGTGAAATTTCTAACCAATAGTTGTTTTTACACTTGGCTACGTGAAATGTATTTTCAAGATGTTGGGTTTATCAATATTCTGTTTTCCTTCCACAACCAACCAAATTTGGTAGCCTTCCCGTTACGAAGAAAGGAACATCAAAATAAATAGACAGCGCGCTTTGTAGCTTCCAAAATTCCTGCTTTAACTTCACACACTTACCTCCCCTGTTATTCCATCGTTAATAGATACTTTTTGTTGCAATTAGTTACATATTTGATCCTACAAAAGATCTTTGCAAAATTTCAAGGATCATCCTGAGATTGGCAACAAGAAATATTTTTTATTAAAAAAACTATAATAAGAAATTGAACTGATCCTAACATCATTATCTAACTTACCCTTTGATATATGCTATATTTGTTAAAGCTATGGCTTGTATAAAAGACACCCATAAAGTTTTGTACGCTTTGACTGTTGCATACTCTGCCCATAAATTTATTCAAACAAAGCGGCATATTCCATTATCCTGTTGCAGATATGCCAAAACAACGATCATTCAATTCCTAAGACAACTGACACAACACCAAATCTGTTGCCAATCAACTTTGCTTATCTTTCAAGAATCTTGAAGACATCACAAACACAACAATGCTCATTTACATCATCAACTTCAACTGAAACAACGAAGAAACAATTAAACATACTCTAATGGAGAACTCTGCACTAAAGATTTTTGTGTTAAGCTTTTTCTTTGTCATAACCATTATTGTTGCCCAAAATCAACCAATACTAACCACTTTAGAAGGCCCATTTGAGCCTGTAACTCGTCGTTTTGATCCTTCTTTACGTACAGGCAGTGATGACTTGCCTATGGATCATCCAAGGCTGAAGAAGAATGTTACTTCTATTTTCCCAGAACAGATAGCTCTTGCTATCTCTTCACCTACTTCAATGTGGGTTTCTTGGGTTACTGGTACTTGTTCTTACATTTATGTTTTGGACGATTTCTTGTTGTGTACTTTGATAGATTTTTTGAAATGGGTTGGTTGGTTTTGGTTCAGGGGATGCCCAGATTGGGTCTAATGTGACTGCTCTTGATCCTTCATCTGTTGCGAGTGAGGTGTTGTATGGGAAAAGAAGTGGAGAATATACAAGTAAACGTAGTGGCAATGCAAGTGTTTATAGCCAATTGTATCCATTTGAGGGCCTCTTGAATTATACCTCCGGCATCATTCACCATGTGCGGATTGATGGTAAGATTAACTTTGTAGTTTGGTGTGTTCTTTTTACTCTTATTATGAATGCACTGGCAATTGTTATTAACATTTGTCGCAATTTGTTATTCTTTATGGATTTATTGACGAGCTACACTTCATGCTTATTCAAAGATTTGCCTAATTATCTAGACTACATTTTGGTTAGGCTTTGGAAGCATAACTTAGAAAGAAAATATCTTATTGCTAATTTATGAAGGAACTAGATATAAAGACCTGTATTTTTCTGGGGTAGCTAACTATGGGGTTGTTTGATTAATGGTTGTGGTGTTTTTGCTATCATTCAATCATCTTTGATCAGTTGGTAATGAGAAACTCTTCAAATCTGGTACGCCTGTGAAGAAATTAGTTGAAAAATTTACAAGCTTAGGAAAGTATTTCTGAGAAGAGATTATTTATGAGGCCAAGAGGCTAAATTGAATGTTCTGATCAATTAATAGAAAAAATCGCATATAGGTCCTTCGTGATCAGTGAAGGTCAAGTTGTTAAAATTGTCTAATTAAATTTTCCTGTGAAGTGAGTTTAAGCCACTGTGGTTCATTGCCTTTCTTGGCATTTAAAGTTTCGAACTTCAATTTGCCTGTGTCATTTTCAAATATGGCTCAGCTATATATTCATATCTTCCTCCATTAGGTATAAAATTTCCACCTCTTTCTTTTTCATGTATAGACAGTTAGCTTAATCAATAAATACCTAGAGATATCCATTGATTACTAATTTGTCAACTAATTTGATAGATCTTGAACCTGGAACAAAATATTATTTCAAGTGTGGGGATAGCAAATTTCCAGCTATGAGTGAAGAGCATGTCTTTGAAACTTTACCATTGCCTAGCCCAACTTTATATCCTCGCCGAATAGGAGTTATTGGAGATCTAGGGCTCACCAGCAATTCGTCAACAACTATCGATCATCTGACCCAGAATGATCCCTCATTGATCTTAATGGTGGGAGACTTAACTTATGCAAATCAGTACCTTACAACCGGTGGGAAAGGAGCTTCTTGTTACTCATGTTCATTCCCAAATGCACCTATTAGAGAGACATATCAACCCCGGTGGGATGGATGGGGAAGGTAACATCTCCTATGTTTCAGTAAATTAACAGTTATATCTTTAATTTTATGTTGCTCAAATTCAGTAGCTGTCTTGCAATTGAATTTACTCCCCCATAAGTCTATCCTTTTCTATTGATGAATGTATCTTGTAAGAGTTTTATTTACCATAAAAGTTCATACATGCACACAATGTTGTCAATGTAGTTAGTTAGGCATATACTTGACTGCCATTATCCTCATTTCTTGCATAATGCTAACATGAGTTGACACACCACTTTGAATCTGTGTTTAATTTATAGTGTTTTAACTTTTTTATGGAAAATTTTCATAAAGGTAGCCATAGCATCGTAGATGACAATTATCTAATTTTGAAATCTGTCAGTGAAGCTAACACAGTAACTTGTTTAATATCTAAAAAGTCTTTTCAAAGTTGAAAATGCATTGGCAAATTTATGATGATTAGTCCCCCTTCTATTCACTGGTTTTAGCAAATTCTAATTGGCCAATATTTACGAAATTTATCACTGCTATGATTACTGGTTGTTATTAACACTTGATTTTTGACATTTTTCTGATGTGGTTGTCTTTTGGATAGATATATTCTCTTTATACAATTGTTTCTATGTTGAGAAGTTACCTTGATGAAAGGATTTGAAGTCATTATTAGATTCAACCGAAAAAATGTTAAGAGGAAAAATTCTTCAAGGGTTGTTTCAAATCCCAAGTCCGAGAAAATTCAGAATGCAATGGAGACTTTGATAGCTTAAAATTTCTTTTTGGGTTTCCAACACTTCTGTTTTGACGATTACTGAGTCCAAATACTTCTAATCTCCAATGTCGCCTATATTCGTACCATCAAAGCCAATTACAATACTCTTTCACTGTTTATGTATATCAGTCCAGGATTAGTACTTGTAATGCAAGGCGTAAAGTTGGAGACTGTACTGACTTGAAATAAAGTATAACGCCCTTATCTGAAGTTACATAATGGACCAGAAATACGGAGTTATGGATGCTGTACTAGCTTAAGTTTCAATTTGCTTGACATAGTTTCATTATTAACACAGTTAAATTCATACTTTAGGTTCATGGAGCCATTGATCTCAAGAGTTCCTATGATGGTCGTTGAAGGCAATCATGAGATAGAGCCTCAAGTTTCTGGAATCACTTTCAAATCTTATTTGACCCGATTTGCTGTTCCGTCAGAAGAGAGTGATTCTCACAGTAACTTCTACTACTCTTTTGATGCTGGAGGGATACATTTCATCATGTTAGGAGCATATGTCGATTACAATAGCACTGGTAACTGAAAATTTATGATCAAGACATAACTATAAACCCTGACATGTCTAATTTTTTCAGATTAGAATGCAATGCTAGGATGTATATCCCAATTCTAATATTGAAATTCTCTATCCAGCTGTTAATTCTGACTGTTCTCAATTGTAGGAGCTCAGTATGATTGGCTAAAGGAAGATCTACATAAAGTAGACCGGGATCTGACCCCTTGGCTGGTAGCTGCATGGCATCCACCTTGGTATAATAGCTATTCTTCACACTATCAAGAATTTGAATGCATGAGGCAAGAAATGGAAGAACTTCTGTATCAAAATGGTGTTGACATTGTTTTCTCTGGTCATGTAAGTTAAACGTATCTATTTTAATCATATAGATAAGAAACAACCTTAAAGTTTAATTATTTGGGTTAGATTCATCTAATTTGATTTTAGAGCATTTTCAATTCACATGCAGTGCTTGGAGGTTTAGTTGTTGATGTTATGTGTGGTTGTTTCTCTGAAGCAAGAAAAGACTAAGAGTGATGTTATAGTCAACATCTTAAAAAGTATTGGAGAGTTCCTTTACTTAATGTCCTTTTAAATTTAGTTGTCTCAAACTATGCTATTTCTGGACAAGATAAAATTCCTAGATTAAAACTAAAAAAATCTGTACTGTTAAGAGTAAGATTATATTCTCTTATCTGGTGATCATTGCCTTCTCTCCTTCATTGTGATGGAGTTTGACAATATCTTGCTACCACTATCTCTATCACTTCTGTTCTTATATCTTCCCATTTGAGTTTCTAAAATTTAACAGAGGATGAGTTTAATTGTAGAACTATATCGTTGTTTTGAAGACTGAGTTCCTATACGGGTTATATAATTAGAACTGAAAACCTTGTTATTCACGTGTGACATTGTGAAGATGAATATACAATGAATCTGCTATGGTTGGTAAAAGTGTTAGCTGATACTTTATATCAGAGCAAGTTAGAGATATAAGAAAGCTGAAAAGAAAACTAGATACTACTAAAATTCACACTTAAACAAATATTCTTCTTTCTCATTGAATATATGCTGCCTTCTATACAGGTTCATGCTTATGAGCGGATGAATAGAGTTTATAATTATACATTGGATCCTTGTGGACCTGTTTACATAACAGTTGGAGATGGTGGAAATATTGAGAAAATTGATGTTGATTTTGCGGATGACCCTGGAAAGTGTCCCTCAGCTAAAGATAACATACCAGAATTTGGGAACATATGTCATTTGAATTTCTCTTCAGGTCCTGCTAAAGGAAACTTTTGCTGGAGCAAACAGCCGGAATGGAGTGCATTGAGAGAAAGCAGCTTTGGACATGGAATACTTGAGGTATATATGCTTTAAGAATCTTAACATCAATTCTGCAAATGCAATACTAAGTTTCTTCCCTTAACCAAACCCTAATGCCTTTTAGGTTTAGATGTGGAACATTGAACATGGATTTTGTTACTTATATGTTAAACAACACACAGAGTTTGCATATATTCAGATTTATTCATAACAGACTTCACTAACGTGGTACTCCGGCACCAATCTAAATGAAGTGGCTCCCTTCTTGTTGCATTTGAATGTGTCTATATAAAGTTTCAAGGGTTTCTAAAGTATGCCTACTTTGCTACATCAATCCTGGTTTAACCTGTGAGTGTATGCATGCACAATTATGTTAAAATGCAGATCTGTGAGTAGAAATTTGCTAAATTAATATGCTGTGGCTTAACGAAACACTCTGGCATGTATTTGGTTCTTCACTATTTCGCATAAAGCAAAGCCTGCCGACACAGAATTTGTTATGATCTTTCTAGTTTCTTCTTTGAGTTGTGTCTTTCTTCATCAAGATTTTGTCCGTTTCTTGATGCAGGTAGTAAATTCAACGTATGCATTATGGACCTGGCACAGAAATCAGGATATTTACAAGGAAGATAGTCATGGTGACCAAATCTATATTGTGAGACAGCCAGAACTGTGCTCTGCCTCCACCTCTAAAAGTGATTCTCTGATATAACTTTTAGTTTCAAATGGTCATTTGTTAGTTGTTCTCGTTTATGAAATGGCCTCATTACAAACTTAATAGTTAGAAAATGAATGAAAGCATTCTTGAATCTTTGTGGTAACTGTCATCGATCAATTACTTATCGGTTGTACTGTAGTCAGCAACTAGACCATTCATCATCAAATCATTAAAGTAATGTTTCTCGATGAAGTCAGTTGAATAGGATAAAATTGTCTCTCTTAGGAGCAGTATAGACACCTTTTGATGCATACAGTTCAACATGTGAAAAAAATTAATGTGTAAACTCCAGCGCTCCTGTTTTCATAGCGGGTTCTTTCTAACTTCTAGCAAAGGGGCTTTTTTTTTTTCCCCCCACTTTTTGAGATGGATGAGTTTGGTCTGCTTTCTTATAATAGAAAAAACAATATAACTTTTCATTGATGTATTTTTTCATTAAGATCCGATTCAAATTAGCACATTGATCATTTACTTTAAGCTTTTCTGATTTTCTGATGACAGGGGAGCAACCTGAAACAACTAGGAGCTCAAACAGTGAAGCAGCAGCTATATCAGGAAAATGTAAGTGGATACTGTCAATAATATTATTCATAATGGCTGTCAATATCATTGCTGTAAAATGATATTAAATATGCATGTAATTGTGCTGATTAAATTTCTCTTCTTCACTGTATATAATTCTTGCCAAGTTCAATCTAAAGGATGTAATATAATGGATTTCAATGTGCTTATATATTCTACCAAAGAAATTTCCTAGAGTTGTAAATGAAACATCTCAAATGATATATATATATATATGTCAAATTGTACTTTATAATAGTGATATTCTATTTCAAGTTAATTTTTAATATTGATATCCTGGATAGTTTTGAGCAATGTTTTCACTTTTACTATTGTTGGAGATAATACACTAAATAGGCCCAAAACTGAAAACCCATAGGATTAGCTTGGCCAAAATTTGATAGCCCAATTTTTCACCAAAACAAAATCATCCATGTTAAATTAAAATATCTTGAATGTACAATTTTATTATAGAAAAAAAGTTAATTATATGTAACAGTTATTACATTATTTACAAGTCAAATCAATAATTATATATAGAAAATTGTCAATTTTAGACCACTTGTTTTAAAAACAAGAAGAAAAAATAAAAGAGTCAACAACTTTTTCCCACCTAAACAATGGTATAGTGATATATTCTCATCTCTACACTTTTAAAATATCACTTTCTCATTGAAAAATATAAATTTAATGACACTTTCTCGTCGATCCCATAAATTGTCGATCGATTCTGATATCGTTGCGACCCTACATCACTATCATTCTCTTTCTCGATCATCACTCACTAAAACCCATCAAACCTTACTCTTGTCGACCTAGCCAATCATCGGCAATCAAACGATTAGGGTTTGTGCAACCGCCTCCCCTAAGTCAAATTCCGATCAATCACGACCACCAAAATCTAACCTTCTATCACCAAAAGACTCATCAACTTCCCCTCTTTAAAAGCCCTAATAGATCGAGTTTGCTCTCTGTTTGCTGTCAAATCGGAAAGTGTATTTTTAGATGAGAAAGTGATATTTTAAAAGTCTATAAGTGGAAAATGTCATTAAGCTATTATTTGGGTAGAGGAAAGTCGTTAATTCAAAAAAATTACGAAGTTATAAAACTCTATTAAAATTTAAAAGGGTCACTTAAATTTAACACTAAAGTTCGTTAAAATTAACTGGTTTAATGTCATTTATTATAATTATTAATAAATAAAAAACATAAAAAAGACTAACGTAACCTTAGCTAGAAACGATATTTTTGTTTGACCATAAATTGGTAATAACTATAAAAATAATTTTTTATTGTTATAACTATTTTTTAAGAAAAACAACACTAAAAAATATTTTTGAGAAGACAGAAAAAACTAAAATATTAAATAAAAGAAAAGAATTAACTCTTCATGGAAGCCTTTGGCCGCTGTATCCACCTATTTTACGATTGGTGTAGAGGTATAGTGTATATGTATGTCTAATGTCTTCCTACTCCTACAAATAAATAAATATATTTTAATTATTTCCAAAATATCAATTATGTAACATATATTGAGTTCTCCTAAAGTGATATCTGATATACTGTCTCAATATGTGTGTAGATTCTGTTGTCCTTAAAATGTTTGCTTTATGTCCAATCTTAAATACGTCATTGCATACATAGAAAAGTTCATTAGTGACATTTTAGTGATGTGACAAACTAAAACTAAAATAATGCTGTACCCACCTAATTGTCACCATTGGTGTACGTGTATATGTATGTCTAATGTCTTCCTACAAATAAATATATTTTGTTATTATTTTCTTGAGTAATGGACATGTTCCCACCCAAGGTTTACTGAAATAAGGTTAGTATATAGGTTTCATAAATTCTAGATTCTCATTCTTAAATAAACACTGTCAATCACGATTGGGTTTGAGATGTGCTATTACCAAATTGCCTTTCACATTGTTCCAAACCATCATCACCACCTCATTCCAAACCATCATCACAGCCAACCCACACTACAAAGCAACACCCACCTCTCCAAAACAACACCCACCATAAAGCAAATTAACCCAACAGAAGAAATGTTGAAAATCGGATCAAATCAAACAAACACTCCACTAGAACTCTAAAAAACTAATCAATTCTTTAAATCAATAATCAAAATTAGCCAATTGATCAAAAATCGCGAAGGAGATCGCCAACGAACGGCGACTGAATAGTTGAAGGGGACATGAGGGTTTTGAAGAGTTGGAGTTGCTGGTTGTAATAGTGGTGACCAATTCGATTTTAGTCGTCGGAAACGATCAAAATCCAACAAAGAATGATCGAATCCAAACCCTAACGGCGTCGGCAATCAAAGAAGTTAATGAGTCAGAAAATAGGGGGTTTTGGTCATGTGAGGGCGTTGAAGCCGATGAAGTCTAATTCCGACAGGAAACGACAAGATCGAGCGTGAGAGTTGTTCACACACGGTTGAAGGGTTTGAGATGTGGGGTTATTTGACTTTTTAATTTCAAATTATGGTAAAGACTAGTTTAGCCTTTTAACTGTTAAAAATAAAGGATGTTATTTTAAGGGTGAAAATCTGGAATAAATGAAATAAGGGATATTAACCTTTGAATTTTGCTAATCCTAGGGTGGGAACATGTCGTTTACTCTTGCTTTTAAAATATTAATTATGTAACATAAATTGACTTCTGCTAAAATAATACTCCCTCCCTCCGTTTCCAAATAAATTTCATTTTAAACTTGTTACTTTTTTTCCAAAATAAATGTCGTTTGACCAAAAAGTTGAGCAACCTTCTCTCTCTTTCTCGTTTTATGACCCTTGTCTCCTCTCTTTTTCTTTTTCTCTGGTCCCTCGTCTCTCCTCTCTCTCTCTCTGGCCTTCATCTCCTCTCTCTCTCTCTCTCTCTGGCCCCTCACCTCCTCTCTCTCTTTCTCTTTCAAACGTCATTTAACTCTTCACAATTCTCTCTAGTTTCAGATTTGGGACACTACTGGTCAAGAGAGGTTCAAAGCTATTACTTCTGCTTACTATAGAGGTGTTGTTGCTGCACTCGCTGTTTATGACATTACCAAAAGAAGTAGCTTTGATAGCATTAACGCTGGCTTGAAGAGCTCACTAGTAAGTAGCTTTGATAGCATTTAATTGTCTTGCCTCAACTATTTTGTGCTTTGTTTGTTTGTGAAGTAAAATGTGTGCAGGAAAGAAAAAATGTTATGGTTGACTATGTTTGATGTTGTTGCTTTATTGTGTTCTAGAAATTGGTTGCCAAACAGAAAGTTAGTTTCTTTTGGAATAAGCCTTAACCTTAATTAGCTTGTCAATTTTTGGCTCTTATCGCTGCTGCCTAGTTTTCCAGGTGGAAATTGAGGTTCTGTAAAATTGAACTTTGTTTAGATGCATATTTATAACAATGGGTATTATTATGATTGAACTTTGTATTTCTAGTTATGATTCTAAAAAAAGAAATACCAATGTTAAGATCTTAGCCATGAAGTTTTTCCACAAATTGTGCATTTAGTAAATCCAAGATTCGGATATTTAAACTAAAAGAATATGGTTAAAAAATGTAGAGAGTGAATTTTATTAGTTGTAAATCATTACTTTTGTAATATTATTTGAAATGAATTGAAGAGCCTGTAATCACTTGTTGGTGTTGTTCTGGCTTAGCTTCAATAGACAATCTAATTTTGCAAATGTTACTAAGTTGCCTCTTGCATCAAAGGTTTCTAAACTTGAGTTTCAATATTTTGTTTTTTTAAGTTACCCTTCTAAATCTGAGCAGATAGATCATCCCACCACAGCAAATAGAGACCAGGCTGTAAATGCAATGGAAATTATGAGTCATAAACTTTAGAATGAAGTATTAGAACAAATGAGGATATGGGTGCCTTTATCATGTAAGTGGCTTTTTTGTGTTTATTTAAGGTGCGTTTGGTTCAAGGAATGTTGGATTACTAAGAATTTTATATTAATGAAAAGCTAGATTACCTTGAAAATTATTGAGAATCTTTAAAAAAATGTCTTTGATTAGTTGAAATAAATTGGTGGGTAAGTTATTCATATTACTAAATTGCCCTCATTTTTAAATATTAATATAATGTTATTTTTATTATTAATTTTTGAATAATTTCTTTTAACATTTTAGATTTAGCTAAAACACCCCAGCTTATATAAAACTTTAATTTATAACAAAATCACCCCCACCCACCCCAAGCTACTATCGGCCGCCAGCCACCACCTTTGGAAGTTGTCGAAAGTTGTTGAAAATCGCCAGGAGTCTCCGATATGGCCCAAACAGCCAGATGGCCGTAGATCTAACCAGAAATGGCCAGATCTAGTTTGGCCATTTCCGACCAAATCGATGGATCTGGCCGTACGGCCATCAATATGGTCGAAAACATATCGGAGCCTCCCGGTGACTATCAGCGACGGCCAATGGTGGTTGGCTAGCTACCAGTAGTGGGCTGTAATTTGTTTTAAATATAAGGGCATTATTGTCCAAAAACTTAATTAAACAAGGGTAAAATTGTAATGGTGGATTAATATAAATTGATTTTAAAATAAGGGCATTATTGTCCAAAAAATTTATTAATAAGAGATAAAATTGTAACTAAAATAAGATAACCAAGTAATCTTCCAATACCTAAGAAAATGAAGGTAATTAGATTATCTCTAATATTACTAACAGTAACTACTATTGGTATTGGAAGATTATAGGAATGTTATATTACTTGATAACCAAATATGGTAATCAAGTAATATAAGATGACATTACCTTAATAATCTCATATAACCCCCAACTAAATACCTTCTTAAGGTTATTATTCTTAAAATTGATTATGGTACATTAATTGTTGTATGACTCATTTGACTTTTCAATTTATGAATGTTTAGATTTTGAAGATAATCATAACATCAACAATGAGGCCAAATTAATTGACATTGAAGGCAATACAAGCATTCCAAATCATCTGGAATGGTGGATGTCAATAGTGGAGGTTTTATTTATTTATTATTATTTTTATAGTGGATGTCAATACACTTTATTTTCTTTCGTCAATTCAGTTAATTATTTACAATATTTTCTCTTATACAGTATATGTTGCAAAAAACAATGTAGAAGGTGCATCAAAATTGATTGTCGAAATT